AGGGGGGAGGAGCAGCGTAGGGGGAGGACTGGAGGAGGAGCCGCGGAGCGGAGAGGAGCCGTGGAAGGGGGAGAAGCAGAGGCAACTGACGTGCAGTTGCCTGCGTATGACTTCCAAAAACATAGTTTTCCTTATGCAAAGAAAATTTGTCATTTGGATGTATTGGCAATAACATGTTGTTTGCTTTTTTGTGTTCCATCTGTCTCGTTGCTTGACAAAAAATATAGGTTTATGCCCAAATGTTTATGACAACGGCCAATGCATGTCCTATGTGACATCCTTAAAACCCTTATTTTTTTAAATCAACGTAAAGTTTTTGACTCGAGTCCAGTTTTCACGAAATGTCTACTTTTCACGAAGTGCATGTTAAAGACGATCCCGAGCGAGTGGCGGGCGACGACGTTGAAGAGGTTGTCGGGGTGTGTGACGTGCCTGAGGGGCCCGGGGTCGATGTGGATGTTGGGCGTGGGACGGACAAAGACAACTCGGAGGAGGTTCCAATTGACGTTCATAGAGAGGCAGAGCATGACCACGAAGCGTTGAGGGCAGAGAAGAGAGTGACCACTGACATTGGGACGTCGAGGAAGAGGAAGACTACTATGCAAGGTCTGTTGGAGACCGTGGCGACAAAGAAGCTAGTACGTCAGTCACACATGGAAGACGCTTTCGATCCCAAGTGGCAGCACGACTTGGACGTGTATTTCCTGTGGTGGTTTTATGTCAACAGCATCCAGTTCCATGCGGCGAGGTGGCCGGAGTACAATACGTTCAGGCAGCACCTTGCGACATGTCCCCCTCAAGTGCATCCGTCCCTACCTAACCATCGCCGCATCTTCGGCGATGGTGTTGTCCAACAGCACACAGCCATTGCTAAGATGTTGGTGGGACTGAGGAGAGATGTTGTGGCGACAGGAGTCCATCACCGTTGATCAAATAGTCAACTTTCTGGAAGCTGGATCGTTAGGGGCGTACCTCTTGAGGGACGGGGCTGAGCAGGACACAACGAAAATTGTTGTGGGGACGTTGAAGTCGATATATCTTCGGCGTTGGAAATGTCAACGCCATTTTGAGGGACGGGGCTGAGCAGGACACGAGGAAAATTGTTGTGGGGATGTCGAAGTCGATATATCTTCAGCATTGGAAATGTCAACGCCATTTGTACGGACTCCGCAGCGACATACGTTGCGCCTGTGAAGCTCCTTGTGCAGGAGACGGATCTTAAGTACAACCGCACCACTTGGCTTCCTTGTGCAGTGCATGTTTGCAACTTGATGTTGTCAGACATTGACAAGGATGGGAGGGGTGGTGCCATTGGGCATAGGGATGACATCATCATCAGAGCGCGGGCGGTTACGCGATTTATTAGATCGCACGGGGCTGCCCTCACCCTATTTAGGCGATTCTCCGCGTGTTAAAGGGAAGACAGCGTCGTCATCGACTTCGAGTGGCACCTCTAGTCGTTGTCGGGGACTTCGAGTGGCACCTCTAGTCGTTGTCGGGAGCTCATTTACCCGGTGCAAACGAGATTCGCTACACACTACTTAATGTTAAAAAGGTCGTTGGAGCGTCCTCATGCGTTGGAGGAGATGATGATCAGCGACAAGTGGTTGTGCCAGCCGTGGAGACAGAGCTTATGGCTTCAGTCGCGTTGGGTGCGGCAGCAAGTCAGATACGCTGCGTTTTGGGACGACGGTGAGGATATTGAGTTGATGACACCTGTCATGCAGTTGCTGCGCAGACTCGCTCGTGGGGGACGCATGATGTCACGATTATGGTCCTGGTCAGAGAGGGTCATTCAGAGGGTGGCTCAGGTGCCGACCCAGCGCACCAGCCGTGCAGAGCTCAATGCCCTTGTTAGAGGTCTGCAGGCGCGGAGGAGGCATATGTTGGAGCCTGCTCATTGTATGACCCGCATCCTCAAACCACGCCACAGGAGCATTGCTTTCCTTGAGGGGGCGCGGAGGACGGATCACCAGAGGGAGTTGGCGGAGGAGTCTGAGATTGTCTGACATTTATCTCAAACAGCAGGCGGAATTGGACAGACAACTGTCTCAGGATTTGAGGACAACTTTGAGGGAGTTCCACAATTGGGAGGATGATTGCACGTATGGAGGTCGCGACGGGGACAAAGATGCGGAGGCTTGCATGTGGGAGAAGGAGACATCGACGGTTGGTCAGTGGTGGGTATAGTGAGGGGACGACTAAGCGTCCGATATATGGTTCAACGGGGGTTTCCCGTTGAAAGGTTCAACGGCCGTTGATACCCTGTTACAATGCCGCGCTATATCGCGTTAGAACATCGTGCAACGCGGCCCACGAAAAAAAAAAAAAAAAAAAAAA